TCAGAAACACACTGGGGCAGTTCTACTCTGCCCTAGAGGGTCGCTCTGACCTGAACTGACCCAATGGCTTGGTTACCCAACTCCCCACACCAGGCTCATTGCTGTCAAGTCTAAGTCCTAGGGGACAGAGTCGAACTGCTCCCCGGGGCTCCCAAGGCAGCAATCTTTACAGCAGCACACAGTGCCTCATCTTCCTTCTTTATAATATACCATACTGTATATTATTTACTGTATACTATGTATGAAGCCCTGGTGGTGTAGTGGTTACACACTGGGCTGCAGTCTGCTTGGTTGGCAGTTCAAAACCACCAGCAGCTCCAAGGGAGAAAGACTGGGTTTTCCACTCCTGTCAACAGTTGCAGTCTTGGAAACTCACGGGGGCCTCGCTATGAGCCAGCGTTGGCTCAGTGGCAGTGAGTGAGTGGGATACAATATGAGTGTGTGTTGCTTGGCTGCACAGTTGATGCCCATGGAGACAGCACTCAAGAAATCAGTGTGTTCCGTTGGCCCAATCTGTTGCTCAAGATCTCTCTCAAGTGTTGAAAAGCTAGTGTCTCTTAGAGGACTAATGTATGTCTCGCCCAACCATCATCTTTTCAATGGTCTCATACACACATGAAAACTGGAAAACGAATAAGGAAGAGCCCAAAAGAATTGCTGCATTTGCATTATGATGCTGGGAAGAAAGTGGGAAGGACCCTGGACTGCCAGGTGCAAATACGTCTATCTTGGAGCAAGTAGAGCCCGAACGCTCCTTAAAAGCAAGGAAGCCATGACTTCACCTCTTGTACTTTAAACAGTTATCGGGAGGGCATCGTGCTTCCTGGGTGGAGGGTCCTCAAGAGAGGGGAGGGCCCTCCATGAGATGAAGGGACAAACTCGCTATCACCTTGGGCTCAAACACGACAGTGATTGTGAGGGTGGCACACGACCAGGCGATATCACAGCAGCTGCGCTCTGAGTTGGAACTGGCTCAATCTTTGCTTACTTTTAGTTGGGTATTTATCTTTTTCATATTTGGGCACTTAAATTTTTCATATTTGCTTATCAGAACTGTTTATAGATTAATCATGTAATTTGTCTTTGGGGTTTTATAGCTGATTGTTTATTTGTAGATTTGCATATGCATGTTTATGTGTGTATTTTGCCACACTGAAATTTTAGCAATTTAAGATAGTCCAGCTTCAACTTGTCCTTTTCTGTTTACTGCCCTACTTTGAAAGGAAAAGGCATTTATTTTTGCTAATTTTACCTTCACTTGGAAGAGAGAACTGGAGCTGCCAAACTAATGGTAACTCTTTAGTTACTAAGATGCCCCTGGGGCTGTCAAATCTTCTGTCTCAATTTTCTTCTTCTTCAGAATTTACAAGAAAGATCCACCTTTTTTTTTTTTAAAGGAAATAAATGCTTACCCAGTTAGGTCTTTGAGATTCCAAATTGGACCTGAAGTTTGCATAGTGGGTTCTTCTGTTTCTCTATCTGTAGCTTAGCCCCTTTTCAAATGATGAATAGCCGTGGGACACATAGCAAAAAGCGCTGGTGGCACCGGCATTAAGCCTGGAACTGCTAACCATGAAGTCCACAAGTCAAACCCACCACTGCTCATTGGAGAAAGATGAGGCAAATTATTTCTGCTCCCATACAAATTCCCAGTCCTGGAGACACTGAAGAGCAGTCCTATGTGTCCTATAGGGTTGCTACAAGTGGCTATAACACAATAGTGCCCCCACGCCCCGCCCGCCCATGCCTTACCCATGGAGAAGTGTTCTGAGACCCTGGTAGATACCTGAAACCCCAGATAGTTGAGAACCCTATATGTACAAGGCTTTGTCCTCATCATGCACACACATCTGTGGTCATGTTTAATTCCCACGTTAGGCACAGGAGGAGATTTGCAGCAATGATTAGTGGGCAGGTAGTGAATGCGGCAGGACATGCCAGACCAAGGATGAGCTACACCCTGAGAGGAACAGGTCCGGGAGGTATGGTGTCTCCTGTCAGCCAGTTAGTGTAGGACTATACTTGCCCCAAGGTAACTTACTTTGTCTCCCTGACCAGCTCTTACAGACATCTCACTCACTGCCATAGAGTTAATGCCAACTCATAATGACCCTGTAGGACAGGGTAGAACTGCTCCAGTGAGTTTCTGAGACCATAACTCTTTACAGGAGGAGAAAGCCCAATCTTTCCCACACAGAGCAGCTAGTGGTTTCAAACTGCAGACCTTGTGGATCACAGGCCCACATGTAACCGTTACCTCACTGGAGCACTTCATTATAAAACGAGGCAATATCCAGATATGTTGTTGTTCTTGTTGTGTTGTTAGGTGCAATGGAGTCAGTTCTGACTCACAACAGCCCTATGCACGGTGGCACGAATCACCGCCTGGTCCTGTGCCATCCTCACGATTGTTGATAGGTTATATCGATACGGCTATATCCTTTTAGTCAACGGCACAGTGCATATGCTGGGAGGGTGGGAATGGAGGGGAGGCCTTAGAACCACAGCATGCCCTGACACGGATGGCGAGAGGCATGGTGAGTGGTGTGACCAGCGAGGATATACTGTTGGTCTGCTTGCGCAAACGTTGATGCACTGTGCCGACCTGGTTTATGGAGGTGGTAGCAAACATTTACAGGAACCCTAGTGACAGGCACCATAGGTTAAGTATTGAACGTATTTTTTCTGAAGATGAGGCCCAGAGGAACCCAGTGTCCCATGAGAAATGTTTCCCTGTCTGAAATAAGGATGGACATGTTCTGGAAGAAAAATGCCTCCTGTGTCCAGTCTGATTAATGAGAAATAAAACATAGGAACCCTCACATGTAACAAGAGGCCCTCTGAATACACTTTGCTTCGCTCTCTAGTAATTGGCCATCTCGCTAATCTGTCCTCGGCTTCTAGGATGCCAGGATGCTCCCACTCAGAATTAAGCTGATCCGTCTTCCTATTTCCTCCCCGATACGGCTGTAATTGAACTGGCATTCAGCCACATTGCAGCCCGGACAGCTGCCTGCCCCTCCGTTTGACTGACACCGTCAGCCCTGCCCCTCAGTCACCATCTAGTAAACAACACCCGTCGTGCCCGGTACCCGGGCACAGAAAAAGACAGCTCCATCTTCTCATGAGCCTTCTCCCTCTGGGTGGAAAGTGACCAAAAGCCACCAGGTGGGAAGTTCGGCCCTGCCTGCTCTATCAAAGAGAATTTGATGGAACCTCTTTTATTTTCTCTTTCTTGCTCTCTGCATCATGGGAGTTTTCATTTATTTGGAAATGAATATTTTCTATCAATACAAATGCCGAGATACTTCACAAAAGCCTCCGCAGGAAATATTTTCCTTTTTTCTTTTGAATTGTTAAATTTGCGTACAGTGGAGAAACAAGACTACATATTTAACTATCAAGTTGATAGTGTAAGTCGATAGGTCAGAAATTATCTAATAAAAATAATCAGAATTTACTGAGCATCAGGTGACTTTCTTAGCCCAGGATTAGTCTGATGAATAAAACCTGCTGTCACCTCAGGCTCACGGCACATATCGTCTTGCACCACTGTCATTACACCACCATCACCAGTGGCCATCACTGTTCCCCATCCAGGTCCTCCTCATTAGTAACATAGAAAATGTTGCCAAGGTAGAGCAAGCTCCTGAAACCAAACTGCCTGCCATCGCTTCAAGGCAAACTCATAGCAAGCGTTTGCAAAAACAAAATAATAATAATGAAAACAGACTTCTTGTACGTGCGAATGTGTGTGACAGAATTTGTTTCCAAACAGTGGGTGTTCAAGCAACCAAGTCCCAGCACTTAATTTGCACAGACATTTTGCCCTTGCTCACCTTCTCTTTATAAGAACTGTATGCACACACCCAGTCGGCTGGTGAGTCTCAAGTTCAAGGGCCCGACTTCTTCCAGGCGGGTGGCAGTTTCCCCCGGGGTTCTGTCTAGTGTCAGCATTTCCAGCTGTCATGAACCACACAGACACGGCATGGGCCTGGGCAGCAGGGCCGATGGGTGCACCCCCACGCCACCTAGCCTGGCGTGCTTTGCCCTGTGCGTGATCTTTATCAAGATACCTCATGTAGGCTTGATGAGCAGCTACGGCCTCTCAGATTGTCTGGCCTTAGCTACAGGGTGAGTCCATGCCTCCAGCTGACTTTCAAAAGGATAGCTCACTCTGTGACAGAGCTTAAATGCTGAGCGCTTAATTTGCAGAGTGCCTTGAAGGACAGTGATAAACCCATATCCATTTTCAGAGTCCTCACAGGGATTCAGCCTCCACAGAATTCCTTCTGACCAGAGTGAACTAGAAAGTCAATTACCACCACTCACCCACCTTCTGGTGGGGCAGCCTTGTTTAAGGGTCTGCCTGTATGTGTCCTGGATGGAGACCACCATACTGGGCATAGCATAGTCTTGACTCATGCCCTGACTGCCTTGGTCGGAAGGCCCCAGACTCACCTTGTAAGCTCCTCTCTTTAACATAATGTGGCCCGGTCATGGCTGTGTTCCTGCTTCTGTAGTCCCACTTGTAAATGTGATAGATTGATCTGCCACCAATGGATTTGTGACTGTGTCCATTTAGTTCCATCCCCCATTTAAGCAGCTGTGAGGGTATGAGTCCTTGGACACCATGTTGACCTCATCTGGATGATGCATCTTGGTCTTGGTCTCAGCCTTGCCCTATTCTCCTTAAGTGGTGAGATTGGTGTCTCTCTTGGACCCAGAAATGTCTCTTCCTCAGGGAACTCTGATGGGAGAGAGAGAGGCTCGTTGTGGATGTGACTATTTGTCCAGCCGGATGTAGGATCACTATGGTGTCGCTGCCCGTTGTGCACTTGTAAGGGGTATATTTTAGGCAGAGTGTCTGTGAATTTAGAGACAACCACGACCAGGGATTAGTCAGGCCCTGATAGTTGATGACTTGTTTTGCTTTCCAACTTTTACATGATTCTCCCGATGGATGTCATCGCTGGTGGCTACGGAAGCAGCAGTGACTCAGGACAGCAGAATATTCTGCACCATCTCATGACGGCTGGCATGCTCAAGTCCACTGCCGTGCCACTGTGAAGAGTGAGTGCCATCCAAATGTCCTGTTGTGATCCATGGAGTTTTCCTTGGCTGGTTTTTAGGAGTAGCTCACCAGGCCTTTCTGCCTAGACTGTCTCGCCTAGAACCTCCAGTGGACGCAGTTACCATGGTTGACCCCGCTGGCACTGGAAATACTGGTGGTCACATGTCATAGCAGCACACAAAGCACCATACCAATGCAAATGGGTGGTGGAAGCATACCTCCAGAAATGAAAGTCATTGCCATTGTGTCGACTCCAACTCTATCACCCTGTAGGACAGAGTACAACTACCCCTCTGGGTTTCTGAGATTGTAGCTCTTTATGGGAGTAGAACGCCTTATCTTTTACCTACTGAGCATAATCTACTATGCCACCAGAGCCCCACAGTCTCCCTAGCATATTGAAAACATCTCACTTACGTTCAAGAAACAAGGACCTACACAAACTAAAGTGGAGGTGGAGGGGTCTTTGCGAACAGGAGAGAAGGACAGGCATTGACGGGAGATGGGCCTTGCTCAGCTTGTCTGTTGAAACACTGTCCACCAACAGATGAACCACTGAGCTCATCCTGCTCTTTGGCCTCCCTCGACAGAGCCCCGGCAGCCATAGCCCGTTTCTCACCTCTCATCTCCCTTTGCCACGTGTGCCGAATAGTTTTGTTTTTCCTCACTACTAGAGCTGTGTGATGAATTTCCCCCAGGACATCACAGAAACTGGGAAAGAGGCTGGGAACCATCCGCTTCAAACCCCCTGATGGCAGAGAGTTTGGTTCAGGTTTGCCCTTATCCCAAGAAGGGCCACATTGTGCTGGAGTAGAGAGTCCCAGGAGGGAAAGGGAGGGAAGGCTGCAGAGAGAGGGGCTACCTGGTAGTAAAGGTATCCTTGGGAAAGGAGTGCAAATGTGGACTTTAGGGGGTGACTCTGAGAGTGCTAACATGAACAGGGCATCAGGGTGGGCATGGGGGTTTAGAGTGGGGGAAGGTCCGTACAGGAAGACTACCTGCTGGGGGAGGGGTTCAAGAACAGACATTAATCTGGTAAGATAGGGATCCGGGAGATGGATGAGCCACATCATGTAGGAAGAATGGAGTCTTGGCCACTGAGTTGGTGTGGGAGTGTTCTGGGTGATGTCTGGTGCATGTTGAGAAACTTGAGGGTACCTTAGCACGAGATCCCAGGAGGTTCCCTGGAGGCAAGTGTGTGCCCGCCAACAGGCAGGAAGGTCAGGAGGTAGAGACTTCCAGGCATTGATTAGCTACCACGGGTCAGGTATTTTGCTACTTAATATTCTTAAAAGTTCCCCAGGCAGATCTCAGTTCAGTAAGAGCAGAGTTAACCAATTACCGAATCCTTCCCGGAAAGGAGATCAGGGAGTTGCTGTTGGAAACAAGACCCTGGGACTTTGCGAGGGGGTTTGTAGAATTGTCTCACAGAACTTCCAGAAGTGGTAAAGTAACCATTATCACAAGAAAACACTGAGCAAACAACAAAAAACTAATAGTGTTCTTTGGTCAACATAGATTCCTTAACCTTTATGTGAGTGGTATACACATGTATGCGGGTGTGCAAGAACACACCCACACACAAGGGGCTTCAAAACCTCCATGGGAAAATTGATTTATCTTCTATTCCATTTTTTTCCATGAGCTTTGTGACGCCCTCTTAGATACATGGTGATGTTCTCAGGTGAGCTGGTTTTGATGATTTTGTGGGCTTGCATACTTTCAAATGCTGTAAGTCACCTCTGAGCTACTAACAGCAATGTCAGTAATTTGGAACCACCAGCCACCCCCTGGGACAAAGATGAGGCTCTCTACTCCCATAAAGAGTTGTTGTTGTTAAGTGCCTTAGAGTTGGCTCCAACCCAGAGCCACCTTATGCAAAACAGAATGAAACGCATTGATACACATTGATACACAGCCACTATGTCAATCCATCTCAAGGGCCTTCCTCTTTTTGCTGCCCCTCCACTCTACCAAGTATGATGTCCTCCTCCAGGGACTGGTCTCTCCTGACAATATGTTCGAAGTATGTAAGATGAAGTCTCACCGTTCTTTCCTCTAAGGGGTACTCTGGGCATACTTCTTCCAACACAGATCGGTTTGTCCTTTGAGCAGTCCGTGGAACTGTCAATATTCTTCTCCGGCACCCCAATCCAAATGTAGCAATTCTTCTACTGCCTTCTTTATTCCATGCCTCACTTGCACATGCATTTGAGGCAATGGAGAATACCATGGCTTGGGACAAGTGCACCTTAGTCCTCAAATATGTTTTCCCTGCAATACTCCAAAGAGGTCTTATACAGCAGATTTACCCAATGCAGTGCATAGGTTGATCTCTTGCCTGTTGCTTCCATGAGCAGTGATTGTGGATCCAAGCAAGACAAAATCCTTGACAACTTCAACTTTTTCTCCATTTATCATGTTGTTACCTATTGGTCTAGTTGTCAGGATTTTGGTCTTCCTTACATTGAGTTGTCATCCATACTGAAGACTACAATCCTGGATCTTTATCAGCAAGTGCTTCAATTCCTCCTCACTTTCAGCAAGCAAGGTTGTGCCATCTGCATACTACAGGTTGTTAATAAGCATTCCTGATGCTGAACTCTTCTTCATATAATCCAACTTCTCTGATGATTTGCTCAGCTTACAGATTGAACAAGTATGGTGAGAAGATACAATCCCGACACACACCTTTCCTGATATTAAACCATGCAATATTCCCTGTTCTGTTCCTACAACTTCCTCTTGAATCCTGTACACTTTCCGAATGAACTCAATGAAGGGTTCTGGAATTCCCATCCTTCTCTGGGTGATCCACAGCTTATTATGGCTCACACATGTGAATACCTTTGCACAGTCAATGAGGCACAAAGTTAGTTTTTTGCAATTCACAGGGGCAGTTCTAACCTGCCCTATGAGAATCACTATGACTCCATGGCACTGAATTTGGCTTTTGGTTGTGGTTTATGCAGACAGCTTCCACACCTGTGAGGGCCAAGGTCCCTGGGCTTGCCCTCCGGTGGTGATGAGAATGCTTTGAAAGCAGCCTGGTCTTGATGTACACTGATGGGAAGCAGCAAAGCCACTGTGAGACGACCTTGCATTTTCCAGGCACCATTTAATGTGAGGTGTGTTGGCACCTGGAGGCCAAACATGTTATCATCTTTTGGGGGTGGGTACTGTTGCCGGGATGGGATCCTATCTCCTCTGCTCGCTCTTTTTTTTTTCTTTCCTTTTTTAAAAAAATCTTCCACCGCCACCCCTACCCCCTCCTTTCCCTATCTCCTCTGCTCTCTTTAGGATGACTTCAGCAGCTAGCTCTAGGCAGTGCCAGGGGGTGGGGCGTGTCAACTTTCTCAGAACCTCAAAGAGCTAAGTTCTGGCTTTTTCTGCCCAGAAGGCAGTCCACCCACAAAAGGAAACACTGAGCGGAGCCTCTGTACTGATCCTGAAGAGAGAGCTGGGTGAGAGCCAGCCTCTGTTTGGAATTCTAGACCTTTGTGGTCTTCCGCCATGAAGGAGGGAGGTCATGTCATGGCACCCGTGGTTCACAGCACAGCTTCACTCAGGCTAGGTTCAGCCCCTCAGCACGAGCAGAGTGCCTAGCGCCTCTCACAAAGTGGATTTGGTAAGAGGATCCAGAAATAAAGAGGATGTCAGCCCCCTGGAAGAGCCCTGGGTCCTGGGAGCTGGGCCCACCTTCATGGCAGGAGAATAAGAAATAGCAAGTTTGCACACAGAAGATTCCACCCAGGGGACTCCTAACCAAGCAGGAGCAAACATGCAGCTGATCTGCTGCAAGGCAAACTCTCGGGGCTTGTCTCAGAGCATGCCTGAAGGCTGCATGGGGTGGGGGTGGGGGGGAAGGACTCGCTATATACACCTAGCAGTGCACGGCAGAACATTGGATTCTTTCACTATTCACCATAGGGAGGCCTGATGGCAGTAGATTTGGACTGTTTTCCTATAAAGCAACCACTCCAAGGTTGGAGACATACTTGGTCTTGTGCTCTAAACAGCCATTAGGGGCTGGGGCCCCTTGTGTCAGCTGGAAAAAGAGAGAAGTTGGGGTGACAGGCCTCAACATAAGCCTAGGGTGGTGGTGGGGGAACCATCTCCTGTTGGGGCCAGAAGGGACACATTTGGTGTCATCACCTAGAGAGACCCAATGGCTGCCAGGGTGCTGTCGTAATGAGCAGTCCTCAAGCCCGCTGGTCATCAGAAACCATGTAGTAAGTGCAGCCAAGTGTTGGGCTTTGTTTTCCAAGTGACTACATCCGATGGCCAGACAGAACATCAGTGGTCTGGAAGCTTTTGAATGTCCCTTTGGTGGTGGTGGCTGACGCTGCCTGCTGCTGCTACTGCTTGTCACACACATGGGAACACACTGTCTGAACAGCCCTTTCTGCACCACACTGGACCCCACGGGACCCTTCCCACTGCCCCGTCCACACCTCTCATTTCCCACGGCCACAGGCAAGGAAGTCTCACAACCTCACCCTCCCGACGGCGAGCCAGAGTCGCGTTTGAACCCACCAGCAGCTTCACTCGAGAAAAGACCTCGTGATCATCGGGGCCCTGGTCACCAGGTCAGGGCGAGGAGGTGGGCCCGCCATGTCTGACTGCACCCCTGTGGCCCTGCAACCGTGGTGCGCTGCTCCATGGCCACCTGTCCAGTCTCCGTGTTGCTGAGGTGACCTTCTCCTGGCTGGCGCACCACACAGCCCAGATTTGCCTTCTCGGCCTGACCTGGGGCTTCAAGCTCCTGTACTGGGCCACTTCCTCCCTCCCAGAGGGTTCTGAGACTGAAGTGAGCGGGTGGGTGTGGCAAGGCTGGCCAGGATTGAGGATCTGCCTGTAAAAGGCCTGGAGCCTCCCCTCTTAGCCCCACTCCCCGTGAGACACTCTTAGCTCCAGGCCCACCTTATTGTGGGTGCCCACCATTGAGCTGACTACTCACAGAGACCCTCGAGGATGTGGTAGAGCTGCCCCATGGGGT